ATCTGCTTATATTATAATTATTTTGCCTTTAATCTTGAAGATCTTGAAGGTTATAAAGACAAACTTATTCACATCCAATTAGAAGATGATTTTCCAATCTTTTGAAAACCTTATAGACTTAGTGCTTTAGAAGAAGTTGGTATCTAAGCTCGTTACTAAGAATTATTGGCTGCAAGCTTGATTGAGCTTTTTAATAGTAATTATGCTTGTGCTATAGTCATGCCTTTAAAAAAAGATGTTTTTGATAATTGGATAGAAGAACGGATATGTGGAGACTATCATCCAATTAATTTTAAGACCAAGTCTAATTAATATCCAATACCAATTTCAAAAGAATTATTTGATATAATAGCATTCTCCTAAGTATTCAGTATTTTGAATTTAAGATTTGGTTATTATCAATTACCATTATTTTTTGAAGATTGGATAAAGATAGAATTTTAGAGAGTTATTTAAGATGATAAAGATCAATTCTATTAATAAAAGTTCCTTCTAATTGGTCTTAAAAATACACCAATTAAATTTCAATGAATAATAGGTCAAATTCTATTTGGCTTATCCTTTATTAAATACTACATTGATGATATTATCATTTTTAGTAGTATTCTATAAGATCATATGAGACATTTACAAGCAATATTTGAATAATTATAGCAATGGAAATTATTCTTATATCATAAAAAATATAAATTCTTTTATGAATAATTACCATATTTAAGTCATATGATTATTTCATGAAGTCTTAGCATACAAAAAGAAAAGATAAATGCCTTGCAAAAAATCTCAACACCAAGTAATGTTTCATGAATTTGGGCTTTTTTAGAGTTGGAAAACTACTACCAAAGATTTGTTAAAAAATATAATGTCATTGCCAAGTCTTTAATTATTTTTATGGATAAAGATCAACCAAGGACTTGAAATTATGAACAATAACATGCATTCAATACATTAAAGCAAAAGTTGGATTCCACTCTAATGCTTTGACATCTAAATGCTAATAGACCTTTTCAACTACACATAGATTAGAATGTAATAGGATTAGAAGTCTTGATACAAAAGATGATGTAAAATGGAAATATATTATTGTATTTGGTTCTAGAAGAAATAATAATATGAAGTCAAATTACTCATCTTATAAAAGAGAAGCTTTGGTAGTAGTTTGGACCATTACTCACTTTTGACCTTATTTATATGGTCAATGTTTCATACTGATTATCAATCTTTGAAGTAGCTTATAGAGACAATCAAGCTTAATGGTAAGCTTGCAAGATGGACTTTGTTGCTTCAAGAATATGACTTTGAGGTTGTATATTGGATAGGCATTATTAATTTGGATGTTGATGGACTTTCTTATAATCCATATCCTTTATAAGAAGACTTATTCAAAGCTCAATGGCATGGAAATTGTGATTGAGAGGTAGTTCTTAGATAGCATACAATCACATATTTGACTTTAATGTCAAGTTTTGCAACCAGGGTTCTTGATCAGAATTCAGATGAAGAATTAGATAAGAATCAAATAATTAGCAATGTATGGAAAGATCTTTTAGTCTTATATAAGCTTCAACAAGGAGTATTTCCTTCAACTATCTCTAATATAGAAAGAAATTGGATAAGTCATTAAATAACAAGATTTTGGTTGAAAGAACAATTTGTTATTTCATGTATTGCTTGATGGAACTAGGCACATAGTTCTAAGGCTAAATCAAAGAACCTTCTTAATACACCAAGTACATGAAGAAGTTGAATATTTTGGAGTACACATAGCACATTTTATGTTATATAATCAATATTGGTGGAGTAGTATATATCAATAAATAGCCACATATATTTCTTGGTATGAAGTGTGTGATTGAGTTAAATCAAGCTTTAATACTTTATGACCTCAATTAAAGTCATTATTTATTATAGATTTGTATTATTATTAGTCTTTGGATTTTATTAGATCACTTACCATTACTTCACATAGAGCTAAATACGTATTGGTGATAGTAGAACATTTTAGCAAGTGGATTGAACTTATGTCTTTACTACAAAATTCTTTAAAATTGGTAGCTATGGCTTTTCTTGATCAAGTATTGGTACATTTTGGAACACTTGTTGAAGTCTTAAAAAATCAAGGAAGCGATTTTATTGAGATTTTTGAAGCTTTATGTATTAAAACTTTGATAGATCATTGTACTATATCTAGAAATTATTCTAAGATAGATGACCTAACTGAGCAAATTATTCAAATTATCAAATATGGTTTATAAAAGTATGGATTACTTCATGGCAACCATCAAGATTGGAACTTGATATTGCCATAGATTGCAATAGATTATTGTTTCAATAGACAAGTATCTTTGGCATCTTATAATCCTTATTAGTTGTTATATAGACAAGATTCAATTCTATCTAATTCAATATATAAAAAACTACCTCCAATTTTAGACCTAGATGATCTTCATGTTTAGACTAAATGTCTATATGTCCAAGCAAAGTTCTTTAAATAAGCTATATCCATGACTATGGAAAACTTATCTATTGCTTAACATCACAATACTTTGCAATATGCTCACATTTGTAGAAGAGCTTATTAGGTCCAATTGCAAAGATTATCTAAAATAGATTATGTATATTTGTAACTTAAAGTATCTATAATACTTAATATTAAGGCATGGCACAAAATTCTATATATAAAAAATATATTATTTAGTGATATTTTTCTGTTACAAGGCAAGGATGGACAATTTTTTGTGCTTCTTGTCATCTTCCTATTAATGACTCTATACATCTAGAATTGGCAATTGTGCCAATTGATCTTCTTTCTTTTGTATGTAGTGAGAAGAAAGAGTTGCTACCATACTTTTATATAATCAATGCCAACGTAGGTGGCATATGACATATTTGATACCACCTCTTTCAACTCTCCCATTAAGAGATTGGATTTGTCTTTGTTGTAAGAAGTCTTCTAACCATGCTTCATTGCTTGATAAAGATTGAAGATTTCTTCTATTATATGTGCCATATACTTTGGTGGTCTAAATGCTACAACACTAGTGTCAAAGAGTACAATTTGGCATTCACATCATGGTGGTATTCATCTTCAACAATGTGTTTTGTATTCCTAGTTGATTGGAGGAATTCCTAATCAATTAGGAGGTACACTCTTGAGAGTGTGTTGGATGTGCATTTGTATTTAGTTTAAATTATATACTTTATGACTGGTTTGTAGTACTCAATCTGTTATTTGTAACGATATTTGTTTACACAACAATTGTCATATGATATGGCATTCAGTGCCAAATCTTGTCAAATGTATGTAGTTTAGTTTGATTAGTGATTTTTCATCCATTGATAGTTTATTCGTTAGTTGACTTATTCATGTCAATTAGGGTTTAAATACTTAAGTAGAAAAAAATGCTTGACTTGATATTCTTATCAAGACAAGTCTTTTGAGTGATTTTGAAAGCGAAAGAATTTGTTGTAAGGGTTTGCTTGGCTATGGTGTTTTAGCCATTTTAATAAAGCCTTAGGATTTTTCTTATTTTCACATTTGCATTCTTAGATTCTTCCTTTGTGGTGTGAGAGATAGTTTGACTCAATTTGGTATAGATTTCTAATCTTTCCTTGAGAATGTGTTAGATGTACATTTGTATTTGGTTTAAATTACATACTTTATGATTGGTTTGTAGCACTTGATGTAATGTATGTAATAATCTTTGTTTACATAATAAGGATGTACTTGTAGCTTGAGCCTTCTTTTAATACATTAATACTACAAAAGAATGTCTTCTAGGATTCTACCAAAAATTTAATATTAGTAAAAATTTCCAAAAGATAGAATTTAATATAATCTAAAACCTAATGTTTGAAAAATAAATAACAATAAATTATTTTTTCTATATATCGATATAATTTTTCTTGGTACTATAAGAATTAATAGGAGATTTGAAATGAAGTCCACAAGCACCACATTAATCTCAAAGAAAATATTCTATCTATTCAACAATTCTAAGACAAACTTAATCCTAAATACTATGTATTTGTAAAAGAAGAAAACAATAAATCATTAGACATTGGATTTATATATCCAATTTTCTATAATGAATGAGTTAGTCTAATTAGAACAACATTTTTTTCAATGTCATGATTTTGACATTTCTTTTAATATCAAAAAATGTCAATTTGAATATCTATTTAGAAAACTACAAGGTCACATTGTCATTAGGTCTAGAATCCACCTTAATCTTCATAAAGTCTACAATTATAAATCTAAAGCATCTAGTTTTCAGTATTGATATTAGAAGTTTTTTCAATGTATGTGGTCCTTATTTGCAATTTATTGCCAACTACACTTCTATCACCATTTCCTTAATTAACTTAATGAAAAAAGTAATTGTTGAATCAGTTTCAATCTAAACAATTGATTGTAAAGCTGGGCTTTCCTTAAACTAGAGGGCAAACTTCAGTCACCACCAATATTGATCTCATTCCAATGGAATAAACCTTGTCATCTGTATGTTAATCCCATCATGCTAGATAGAAATGACTATTGCAGATAAATATCCAAGTAGAAACACAAATGGATACCACTCATCAAATTTACATCTACAATAGGTCCAATTTAAGTACAAGATTTGACACCCTTGCCCACTATCCAAGTAATAGTTAATGGTGCTAAGTTCCTTTTTTTGATTAAAAAACACCGCAGGTTAGATGTTAAATACAAACATCGTTTTAAAATAGTAGAGCTGATGTTTTAAATACTCACATGGCTCCAATTTGAATCTTATTGATGCCATCTGCACACAAACTATTTTCCAACTCTTCATAGTATATTTTAAAAACTATCTTTTCTTTGTCAGTTGTCCTTGAATACTTGACTTCGAAGCTCTTTAATCAAGTGAGCTTTTTGAGCGAGTGGACTCTCTAAACAAGTGGGAAACTTCAAAACTTGGAGCTTCTGAAGCATGTGGGCAGCTTAAATAAAATTTCGGACTCACTCAAGCTCTTCATATGGATGATCAATAATTTCGCATTCATCAGCTAATGAAGATACACTTCACTAAAATTGAATATACAGGCAGTAAGCTGAGTTGAGCTCTTACATTCTAAATAGTATCATTCTGCTTTGAAGTACATCACATGCCTGAAGATGATCTAAACGTACATTGAGATCTTTATATCAAACTCGGTTGATGACCTGTGCTGTTGATTTTGGGGACGTCATTTTAGAACGTCCCAAAATCACTACTAGCAGGAAAAAGTCAGATAACATGTATATCCAAGTTATCTTGGAGCCTTGCAACATTTCCAAGCCTCTCAACAGCTGCTAGTTCCAGAGACACCAAACAAGAGCACCTTCAGTGAACGAAAAGTGATCAGCACCGATCGGATCTTGCCTCACAATTACAGAATCCCCGTTCACCCTACAGCAAGCCGGATTACTGACTTTACTTCTTAATAAAAGGTGAACTGGACCCGGCTAGCCACAAAATTGCTGAACATGAAGGTCCAATGCAGATACATAGACAGCTATAAGAACCTCCTTCGTACTTAATCCTGCTTAGAAAAAAGACGCAACCGTCAGAGCATTGTTGTAGCCGAAGAGAAAATTTCATGAAAAAGTTGACCCTAAAAACATTATCAACCCTAAATCGTTTCTATTCCTTCATGAACTTGAATCTGTTGCACTGCTAGAATCGAGAACTGAAATCATGAGCGATTCTTTTGAAATAAATATAAAATGCTACCTCTTCCATTGCACTAGTCCCTTCAGATTGCTTTGAACTTGACGAATGACTAACGCTGGAGTCCATAATACGGTTTTCTGAAGCATTGACTCCAGGGAGTTCAATGTCAGAGGGTAGTTGCCCTAGCTTGAGGGCCTGCACGAAATCAACTTCTTTCAATGCACGAAATACAATATAAAATACAAGGACGCTTCTTTTTGAGATACGATGAACACAAGATAATGCAAAAGAGAGAAACTAAGTTTCATTAGGCAGGTAGATAAAGCACTCATACCTTTTCCAGCCTGGCAACTTCTTCGAGTGTCTGAGAATTTGCAATGGCAGTCTGAATCACAAGGAAAGACTACCAGGTAAGGATTCTTGCGAGAAATAACAAAAATTGAGGCAGAATACGCAAGGCAAAATATTTCTATGAAGCTGATTCATTCATCATCAGACGTTATGAGCACTGGTGTGAGTGAACTTGTATCAAATTAGAGCCAGAATAGATGTCACGAAATAAAGTTCCAACTCTTCCCGACTGCAAAAGTAGACCATCTGCACCCTGCAATAAAAAACGGTCATCCTTAATAATCATCAATAGAAAGAGACCAAAAGTTGAGTGTAGGACACAGTGCCTTGATAGCTACTATCTGCTCTGGAGTGGGCCCTTTCTGAGAAGGCTCCTCAACCTCAGCAGGAATCGACTCAGGAATATCATCGCTGGGAATTTCCCCAGGTATAAAGGTTTTTGCAGGAGGTGGAGGAAGTGCTTTGCTGGGTGGACCATTTTCAGTTGCAAACAACTTCTTGGCCTCCTCTCTTTCCTGCACCAACAGAAAAGACGGCTAGTTAAAATGATAAGAAAACGCGTTACAAACTGCTCACGTATAGAACCAGGTGACCTGTATAGAAAATAAAACGATGACAACATCGGCATTTTTTTTAAAAGTCATTAAAGAACGGACTAATATCCTCAATACGCTGATGCCAAAAATTCCACTACCATCAAGCTGGAAAACCCTATTCCAACGCAAGAAATACCTGCATTGCGCACAGTAAGTGACTTCAATCAACTAACCTATCTTTCAATCCCCTACAAACAAGTGACTTCAGAAATACAAGGCTAACATGTCCATGTACTAATGAAAACTGAGAAACTTCAAAAAAATAAAGATCAAAAACTGATGCTCCGTATGTACCTTCAACTTAACCTTTTTAAAATCAATGAGTCGAAGCTTGGGTAGCTTGTAAATTAGATGTAATCGGTAATTCGGCCTCTTTGTGACTACATTATCCAGCAGGCACAAATTCTGTAGATTTTTAAGTGTCGCAAGATGGTCAAGGTCCACCAAGTTCGAAAGTCGATTGTTTGTGAGAACTAACGTTTCCAGATTGGGCAATGCCGCTGCAAAACCACACCTTCACAAATTGTCAACCATGTCCACGCACAAAAATTACTACTACATGATGCGGGGAGCCAAAAAACTCAGCATCCTCCAATTAGAACTCTTAAATTCAATAAGTGAAAGAACATACTTCATTAAACTGATTCGACATCCCAAAAAGTATTACAAACACTGTGATTCAAGCAAAATGAAGTTGAAGACATTTATTAAACTGAAAGTGCACCTAAAAGAATTCGCTCATAAAAAGACCACAGTATATTCTTTTGAATATGAGTGTGCGTGCGCATGCATGAGTACGTGCACAAGGAGCCTCTCTACAGATCCAGATGCTAGACAATTCAACAAAGATATAAACATAGACTGATACGTTATTATTGACGTAACTAGAAATATACTTTCAAATCAAATTGCAATCATAAGCCGTACGACCGGCACCCAGATTCCAACAACGCAAGAAGCAACTTGGTTTATCAAACACAAAAATTAAATAGCAGCTGAACAATTTTGGGGCGTAAGCTCAAACAGATATACACACAAATTGGTATCCTCTTGAAGACCTCCTTGAATAATCAAAACGATAGTGTTCGAAGAAATACCTCCAATATTAGGGTTGATGCGTGCTATTCTATTATTGTTCAGAAGCAGAGTTGTCAGGCGCTTCAAATGTGGAAAGCCCTCAAGCTTTACTATCTCATTGTCAGATAAATCGATGCTCGCATATTGGTCCTGGAATTACAACGAAACAACAAGTTTACATTCCGACAACCAAATCTCCAACAAATAAACCCTTTGTTTCCGAACACAAACAACCTCTAGAAGTACACTAGAAATTTCAGAATCACTAGATCCAAAATACACAAAAGAATCCAGATGTTATACCTCTATAGCTCCAAGGTTTTCAATGACCCCAATTTTATTTCCTGAAAAGAGGTGAAAATCTTGTGAAGAATCAGAAATTAGTCATAATTTAGATAACATTACCAGAACAGTTGTCAGATATCCCACAGAAGCAATTGATAATACGACGACTATGCATCGTCCGCAATCCCATGAGTACTACTCATAAGGCAAACTTAATCCAACAGCTAGACCATTTGAGTCGTACGTCCTAGGCACTCTAAACTCCATGAGTTCCATACGGTAGGAGAAAGACAAGAGAAGAACAATGTGTAAATTCATAAACATGTGATTCCCTTAAACCGTCAATGAACGTATTCAAGGCAGAACCTTTGTTAACACCCGAGGTTCCACTTAACTAGCTATCATCGTGTAAGAAATCTAACATGGACATTACTCTGATGATAAAGTCCCATTACTTGAACAGAAGCGTTATGCTTAAACCGTGGTACACCAGACATTTTTTGCTGCCTCGAACAATACCGTAATTGTGATACGACACGCCTAAATCATTAATGAAAACTAAGCGCTCGTTTCAATAGGATAAATAAAAGAAGGCCAATAAAAGAGATTGGAATTACCACGAAGGTCGACCTCTCTTTCTCGAACCGCATTGAAGTACTGAGGCGAGCGCAGAATTAAATCAGCTGACAATCTCACCATCTTGTCCTCTCAGAAATGATCGCTCAACAAAGTCGTGTGTTGATTGTAATGAGCACAGACCATATGTTGTTCGCTCCACTGATGCTGCAGATGTGTCCACGCCAAACCTCGATAATCTCCCGTAAGTTAGAGAGTCACAAGCATTGGCAGCTGCCACATTCCTTGGATCCTTCCCCGCCCCGCAACCGCCTCACCCCAGGTCCGCAAATACATCAACTCCAACTTCACTCCTTCCCAAAGTCCGACAAAGTCGTATTTAAACACTTTGTAAAGTTTGTTTTGATTGAAAATTTCCAGATAAAACTTAAGAAGAACAATCATAAACCACCTCGCAAGAGAGACATCGGCAGTGAAGAAAAAACAAGCTCGACCAATAAATCCTTCATGCCGATGCGGCAAGAGCACTTAAACACTGGCGGGAAAGGAGTCGACGCGGACGAGCACGAGAGAGAGTGTAGCCATCGCCATGAAAACGAGGCAACGCACCGAGGGTGATCAGCTGCGAAGACGAACCATGGCTACAGACCACAGAAGGCAGAAACGCATGTCGAAAGCTAAAACCCTAACAAGGGAGCGTGCAAAAGGTGGATAAACCATCGCAGAGCAAAGCGAGCACCAAATTGAAGCATGCACAACGAAATTCTTATTTTCGTCTGGTTTCCTCGTCCACGACTTGCAACTCCGTCCATAAATTTGCAATTTATATATATTTGTGTTGACCAAGATTACGAAGCTATTTCAAAGTGTGAAATACACTTAAGCATATGTAATGAAGGGCCTGTAGGATGTTGTTTAATAGGTCAGGGTATTCTTGATTCTGCATAAGAAAAAAGTATTATGTTCAAGAACAATAGATGGAAACTAATGGTGATCAAATTATCCTTTACATCATCAAGTTCTTGTACATTAGCTCATTTTATTAATTACTTAAATTTTAACATTTTCAGTACAATATTCAATTTAAAGAAAACATCTGAATTTTCTTATTATAATATATAGTATAATATATTAATCTAAGATATTTTATCTTTATTCCACCCATTATACAAATTAATATTCACTTTTAAATATATGCTAACTTTGATGTCATCTTAAATATATCATAAAAAAGATGTTCTTTGAAGACAGGTCATATTATCTATAAACAAGCATAAACATCACATATATATACATCCTTCACAATCTTGGCTTGTAAAAAAAAAAAAAAAAAAAAAAAAAAAAAATCTAACTTAAAAAAATATTCTAACTTATAAAAAATAAAAAAAATAAAAAAAATAAAAAAATTGTCATCATGCACTCCTATTTCTTTGTTTTATTTGGATCCAACTTGGCATTATCTTTTAATTTAATTTCTTCTTCTTGATTATACATTTTAAAAGATTATGAAGCTATTTCAAAATTCATGAAAATTACAAGTCTTTATTAGAAATTTAAAGATTAAATTTAGCTCCATGTTTTAGTCAATATGAATTTGAGCTCTTGTCAAAGATATATATCTACTATAATTATTACCTAAGTAATATGAATAGGTAGAATTAGATAAAAGTAGGTTGATTTCAAAATACATTCTAAAAAAAGCTTCTTAAAAGCTTTTTAGATGCTATTTTGACTTTACATATGTTTGTAGTTGATTGATATGTTAGAAACTTGATCAACAAACTACATATGTGCCACATGTATTGATAGCTAGTGGAATAACCTAATTATGTGGTGCCCATATAAGAAACTTGCTTTGCAAGTCATGATACATGTCATGCAAAGTCAATATGTTTTTGGACATCCTGTAGAACATTGCTACATAGATCCTAGGTAAATAGTATATGTAGAGGCAAGAGTGAAGCCTTCTTCACTCTTGTCAATTCTTTTCTTGTTTCTAGTCTAGTTTCAAGAGTTTCTAGTTTCTTTGTCTTTTGGTAATAGCTATTCCAGTTTCTTTTTTAATAAATATATATATATATATATATATATATATATATATATATATATTGTCATTTTTTTTTTGCCACAGATTTTCCAAGTTTACGTATCTTCTTTCAATTCATGTCTTTGACAGATTGATAAGAGTATACTTACAACATTAGAACTTTGACTTTTTTTTATTAAGAGTAGATTGTTCTTTTCTCTTGATGAGACATAAGCATATTAGAAGTTGTAGATTACCCTTTTATAAACTAATATTGTTATTAGTATTTTCTTTGTTTTCAAGTCCTCTCTTCTACTTGTCTTGAATAATATTAGATATTTTTTTTTCTATGTATTATCACGGTAGAGCTTCTTCAAATGAAGAATGCAATGGCACAAATACAAGAGCAATTGAGAGAATTAATGCTTGTGATGCATTAACTCAATTTATCGCCATTAAGAGTAAAAAAAATAATAGGAAGAGAAGATATAGACATGATTGAAGCCGCTTCAATATCTAGATTGAATCATATCTCTTCTCATATTTTAGAACATCCTTCCAATATTAAAGAATCCAAAGTTGCCTTATTTGAGAAGTTTGATGGCATAAGATCTAAATTTCAAGGATTTATCAATCTAATACAACTTGTGATTGAACTTCAACTTCAAAGCTATCCAACTTTAAAATCACAAGTTAGATTCATTGATACACTTCTTTCAGGTTTGACATTATCATGGTTTTTATCTTTTTTTAAATGACGAGATCCAATATTAGATAATTTGGAGGCTTTTTTGATAGAGTTTTGATTTATGTATGGAAAATATGATGCAATTTGTCTTGTAACTAATAAGATCCGTATCTTACAATAAGGCAATCAATCAATGACATCATATGCTTCACAATTTTGACAACTATTAATTGATATTAAGTATAATGATGTTGCCCTTATCAACTAATTTCTCTATAAATTACAATATAAGGTAAAGAAATTGATGCTTAATTTATTTGATCTTCAGACATTGAGTCATTTTGTTGTAAAGTGTGACAATTGAATTTTTTATTTTCAATATGAAAATTGTGCAAAATAACCTCCATGTTATTACAATTCAATGACAACATCAACGACTTCTCAATCTAAATAATTGGAAGTAGAAGATATGCAAATTGATGCAGTACATTTTAAACCTCTTACTAAACAAAATAAGATTCATCATTGTCAAGAAGGACTATGTTTATATTGTAGAAAAGCTAAGTACACTACTCAACATTGTCCAAATAAACAATGCAACTACAAAATGAAGAGTATAATTTTCAAAGATGAAAAAATGTTGGAAAACAAATTTGTCTAGCTACAATAGAAACCATGCAGCTAGAATCTTATACAAATAAAGATCCTATCTTCTCCTCAAAATCTTCTCTTTGTTTTACAATAGATGTGCATTTAAGATCCAATAATCACAAAGCCTCTCTCTTAATAGGTTCAAAAGCCTCAGCTTGTTTTTTAGATGAAGAATTTATTAAAAGCCATAGAATATCGTTAGTACGAAAAACTAAACCTGTATATGTAGAAGTCATAGATGGCTGTCCATTATCTTCTAGAGATATTAATCATCAAACTTTTCTTATAGATGTAGCAATAAATGGTCATAATATTTGCATAATTTTTAATATAATTAGGTTTTCATCTAATCTAGTTATTTTAGGTTTATCATGGCTAAAAAAGTATAATCCTCTGATAGATTGGATTTTTCATAAAATTAACTTTCTTCAAAGCTTTATTAAGAGTTTTGTGAAAATTCATGAGTCTAATATAGCCAAATCTTTATTCATAGGCACAAAAGCTTTCTTCCATGCCACTAAAGAAGAATTGCCTTTTGTTATTTATGCTACATCCATTTTTAATAATAAACAGACTTCAAGTAGCATTCTAAGTCAATATCAAGATTTTCAAGATATTTTTGAGAAGAAGAATGCAAATATTTTCTTAGAGTATCACCCATATGATTGTTCAATCAACCTTAAAGAGGAAAGTCAACCACTATTTGATCTAATCAATATTTTATCACCAAATAAATTGACTGAATTCAAGAAGTACATTGACAAAAACTAGACCAAGAATTTCATATGCCATTCCATATCCCTTATTAGAGCTCCTATCATATTTTTGAAGAAAAAAAAATTGATCATTATAAATGTGTATAAATTATTAAGGACTCAACAAGATTATCATAAAGAATAGGTATCTTTTATCTTTGATATTTGGACTTCTTGATCAACTAAATCAAGCTAAGATATATACAAAAATAGATCTATGAAGAGTATACAACTTAGTCCCCATTAAAGAAGGAAATAAATTGAAGACTCCATTTTGAACAAGATATGGGTACTTTGAATATAATGTCATGTCTTTTGGACTCACAAATATACTAGCTGTGTTTCAACAACTTATAAATGATGTTTTTTGTGAATTTTTAGATGATTTTATTATTTGTTATTTATACAACATTTTAATATATTCTAAGAACACAAAAGAGTATGAAGTTCATGTTTGTCATATGTTACAAAAACTTAGAGATGTAGGATTATATGTCAAGTTAAAAAAGTATATATTCCATATTACTCAAGTTGACTTTTTAGGATATATCATTTCCAACAAAGAACTTATCACAGATCCAAAGAAGATTCAAACTATTATAGCTTGAAAGTTTTCAAGAATAGTAACAAATGTATCAAGCTTTTTGAGCTTTTTTAATTACTATCGAATCTTCATTAAGAATTTTTCTTAAGTTGCAACTAATCTTATATGCCTTACATGCAAAGACAAACTTAATTGGAGCAAAGAAGTTGCAGCATCTTTTGAAGCCTTGAAATTGGCATTTATTTTTGTACCAATCTTATATCATATTGACTTTTTGAAGGCATTTTTTATAAAAATAGATACATTATATTTTGTTATAGATATTTTTTTGTTACAAATAAGCAAAGATGACAAGCTCTACCTAATAGCTTTCCATTCCAAGAAATTCTCAGCAGTTGAGATTAACTATGAGATCTATGATAAAGAACTTTTTGTAATTGTAGATTCTTTTCAAGAATAACATCATTATCTAGAAAGTGCTTCCAATCTAGTCATTGTATGCACGGATCATAAGAACCTCAAATATTTCATATTATCATATATTTTGAATCATCACTAGGCTCGTTGAAATGTATCTTTGTCAAGATTCGAATTCAATATCACTTATTAGCTAGAAAAACAATAAAGTTTATCTGATGCCTTTTCTAGATGTTTTTAGTATTATATATTTTTTACTGTTAGATGAATAAAGTGTGTAAACTAAGTTTTAGAGCAATATTTAAGATGTGCCATCAATTATCAATAAGACGATTGGAGAACCCTCTTGCCATTAGTAGAATTTATTTATAATAATACAATGTATTCTTCTATATAATAAATAAATTTTTTTACTATTTATGGTTATCATCCACAACTTGATACTTTTAACTTTTTAAAAATTGATAATCTTATAGCAAAAGATTTGACAAATCGTTTGTCAAAGCTACATGCAACAATGAAGGCACAATTAAAGGAAGTTCAAGAACAACAAAAGATCAATGTAAATGCCTATCAAAAAAAATAACCAAAATTCAATACAAGTGACAAGATATATTTACTTTGTCATAATATCAAAAGTACTTGTCTTTGTGATAAGTTAAACTATTGCAAGCTTAGACTTTTTCTTATTTGTACACAAATCAATCCAGTTGCTTGTTGATTACATCTACCAGAGTTGATGAAGATCTATCTTGTATTCCATGTATTTCTTCTTAAACCATACAAGACTATAAGCATACCAAGAAGAAGACAAGTTCCACCTCCTCTTATAGAGGTGGACAATAATGAAGAATTTGGAATGGAAGAAGTTCGAGACTCAAGGCTGTGCCAAAATAAATTAGAATATCTTATCCATTTGCATGGATATGACATTAATAAATACACATAGAAACTACTAAAGAATCTTACAAATGCAGCAAAGGTGATGGAGGCTTTGTATCGACGACATCCATCAAAATTAAGTTAAAGAATAGTAAGTCTTTATTATAAAGGAAACAAGGTCAAAGGAAGATTGTATTCTATCTTCTATCGTTTTTGTGATTTTTGTGTAATTGTGGCATTAAAGAGATAGAAAATCAATAGCCGACGGATTCAACTCAAGAGCCACCATTTGTTGACTTATTAGACAAGACATTATGATTATCATAGACTTCAAGATAACATAATAGAAATGAATATGTGCAAGAATGACATATTCTTCTTAGAAGAGATAGCAAGATATAATGAATTTGGTATCATGACCTAAAGAAAGATTCTTGATGTTTGGTGATTTTATTGGAAGTAAGCAAGACTCCTAATGGTGTTACAAATGTTTTGTTTGAAGGAAGTTACAAAGATTTCAACAATGATTAAATCACAGGGTGGTCTTTTTGACTTGGAATGGCATATTATTGATGGCTAAGAGGACCTATCAACTACCTTTGAAGTAAACAAAGATCAGAGTATGTGATAAATATAATTTGTTGCATCTTAGACTTTGTTAATATATGATTCATTACTCCTCGTGAACTCACTCTTTAGAAAGAAGGGAGGGATAATATCATGGATATATATCTATTGTAATTATTATCTAAATAATATGAATAGGTAGAATTAGATAAAAATAGATTAATTTCAAAATATCTTTTAGAAAAGTTTGCTAGAAGCTTACTAGATGCTATTTTGACTTTACATATGTTTGTAGTTGATAAGTAGATAGAAACTTGGTCAACAAGCTATACATGTGCCGTATGTGCTGGTAGCTTGCGAAATAAACTAACTATATGGTGTCCATATAAGACACTTGTCTTGTAAGTCAAGATACATGTTATACAAAGTTAATACGTTTTTGGACGTCTTGTAGAATATTGCTACATAGATCCTAGGTAGATAGTATATATAAAAGTAAGAGTAAAGTCTTCTTCACTCTTGTCAATTCCTTTCTTGTTTTCAGTTTAATTTTAAGAGTCTCTAGTTTTTTTGTCTTTTTATAATAGCCATTCTAGTTTTCTTTTAATATACATATTTTTTATTTTTATTTTTGTCACTTTTCTTTTCATTTAGATTTCTTAAGTTTATGCATCTCCTTTCAATTCATATCCTTGATAATTCTATTTTTATAATATCTATTTTGAATTTTAAAACTTCATACTTATTAAACTTTATCACTAGATCATGATTGTAAAAATTAATCTAATATTTTAAATTGATAAGTTTAATTTTAAGTTAATATCTTTTGGTTTTTTATGCATTTTAGTTTATTTTTTTATTTCATAAATATGTAGTTTGTTATAGATTCTTAGCTTATTTAAAAGAAAATATTATTAATAATTGATTTTTTTATAAACTAAAGATGTCAAATTTAAAGTTTTTAAATATTCAAATCAAAAACATCTTCTAATATCTATATTTTAATAGATTTCTATAAACTCAATGAATAAAAAAAATCACTAATAACTTTAATAAGGAAATATTTGTCAAATTTTTGTTTTATTAGTTTATCTAAAATATATTGACAATGTATACATAGATCTAACATAAATAATAATATACGTAGTTAAGAATTATAGCATTTTGTAGGACTATTGTAATCACAATTGTCTTTTTTATTATATAAGTCTTACTTGGTTTTAAAAGAAGAAATTAAAATATCAAGTAAATTTATTTATTCAAATCTCAATTAATCAAGAATAATTTAAATATCTTTTCTATTATTTTCCTTATATAAAAATCTTTTAAAAAATATCTTTCAATAAAAATAGTCTTCTTCTTCTCTATTATTTGATTATTTTAGATTTTAAGATAAAATTTATATTATATTTTATACAACTACAAAAAATTACTAGAACTTTATTTTAATTTTTTTGATTATTTTTTAAAATAATTTTTTTGATTTTGACATTGAATATTAAATTAATTTTTTAAAAATAAAAATAACATATATATATATATATATATATGCACTTTCAATCTTTACTTATGTACTTGATTGGTTTTTACAAATTATTTCATATAATTTAAATTATAAGTTATTACTTGATTTATATTAAAAAATCTATACAAAGTTACAAAACTAATGTTATTCTTATAACTCATTAATTTATACTTAACCTTAAATATTTAGTTATTGATTTTATTGTTTATTAATGGATAGATTTTTTTTCTGACATTATGTACTAATAACTACAAAGTATAGAAAGATTTGAATGTACATATATAAATAATTAAAAATTAATAGATTATATAATTCTAATTATGCTTTAATAAAATCAACTATCTAATTCTTGCTTCTAAGTTCATGGAATACTTTTTAAAATTTTAACTTTAATATTAAATAAAAATATTTATTTCTATTTTAAGATATATTTTAGAAAAAAAAATTAATTTCTAATTTCATTAGATTATAATAAACGTTCAATAAGTAATATAAACCTTGCAAGATGGTACCAAACCTGAAAAGCTGGTAGTGCAATAATGAGATAAAAAAAAAACTCACTTATCAAAATTTTATAGGTGTAATTCCAAACTTGATTTCCACCTTAGGATCAAAGTCTTACTACAAATTCATTCATATTCATTTTTTAAAATTATACAGCAATAAGCTTTAATTCAATTACCCAAATAAATTCAAATTCCAATTATATGTATGTGTGCATATGTATATACTTTGCAACTTTTTAGGCCTCAATTCTTTTATCATCCAATTGCAATCATCTACAGTACAGCACAAAAATATGATTTGTGTTGCAATAACTATCCGTATCATTGCCTCTCATAAACCTCACAAGAAAACACTACAAAGATTTATCACCATCTTGTTGATAAAAATCATTTATTGAATAAGTTTAGAATACAAATCATATACTGGATACAATTCAAAACTCATTTCTGTAATGAAATAGATTAACTTCAGCTAAACATGGCGGGGATCAGCTTTTGAAGCTTCAAGCCCCGCCAGTCAAATCAAAATTTGAATTAACGTCGCAATCCCGCTGTGGAGGGCTAGGTGAATGGATGAATTCATATTTGGATGAATGGATGGAGATTTGGATGGTGCATGAGCGGCGGCTGAAGCGGCATGTTTATGTTATCGAAGGATGCTTGACATTGAGAGGGCCTTCGCATCTCTCTTGTGAGCAATGAAGTTTGCTTCGCTTGGGGGGGGGGGGGGGGGGGGGTGTGGGGATGTTCCAGACTAGAAGAAAAAAAAAAACGGCACTGTAGCTGGTACACTTGGCCTTAGATACAAGGCTGTGCTATCTGAAATCGATGAGGGTGCCAGAGATCTGTGAATTCGGCAGAAGCAGAGATCAATACAGGTGCAGGTCTCAGTGCTCCGTGGACTGAATATTCATTTCAGCTATGGCGTCGTGTCGGAGGATGTAGATGAAGGTGGTATTCTCCAATTTTGTGCGCCACTAGAAAAGGCAGTCCTCATGATCAAGGTAAGAGACTTCGCGGTGTAGAACTTCTGTCAATGTTGAAATTTAGAATTGCATCTGTACATCGTGTTAGTAGATTTTGTGCCAAGTTTGATTGTACTTACTATGGTTGATTGAAATGAACATAATGAGTCGATTTTAATGAGCTGCATTAGGGAATAGTCACGAAGTTTCTTTTCATTATGAGCGGGATAAAGTGATGATTAAGATTCTTTTCTTAGCGTGACTTTTTTGTGTGGTGCAGTCAGTGGCCTGTTGCCACTACGCTACGTCTTGATTTCCTTCAGATGAGTGCGGGAATAAGACGCAATATCAACTAGCGCTTTCATTTTAATATAAGTGTTGCTTGGTTCTGACGGAGGCAGGATAATTATTCATTTCACAGACTTGTGAATGAGTGTCTGGACGGTGGAGTTTGGTGCGTAGACCGGGTGAGCTAGAAAGAGGGAAGAATTATCTCAAAGTTGCAGATGGAGCATAAGGCATCCGTATCAACGCAGGATGATAGTGGTGTGCGAATAGATAAGAGTGCTCAGCAAAGTGACCGCGGTGATTGCCAACCAAAGGGAGTTTTGGGAAGAAAGAAATGCATCCTGAGTCTTGATGGCGGAGGCGTGCGTGGTCTCATCGAGTGCGTGATCCTTGAGCGTCTCGAATTTCATCTCCAGGTGATGCTTCGCACATGTTCCATTTTACGGTTGTAAATCTCTGTCCACACGAATTGTAGACTTGGTGCTTGAAAGACTGCTTCGACAGTTCAAACAATCGGATAGATCATTTTATCACAAGAACGATGCATTATCGATCTAATGGAGGAGATCCAAACGTGCTGTTGAAACTTCTGGCTAAATATCTCTTCCCTTCTGGCGTCATTCTACTCATGACTACAAACACCTCCACATTGTAGAAACATTTGCACATTCGAATTAGAGCAGCTCCTTCGCACTATGAAGGATAATAACTTATACATGTCGATTCTGATTGATTTGTATTTCTTCTCAAACGCAAACGCAAACTCAAGTAGGCCTACCTCGCGGATAAGTGGGACCTGTTCATTGAATGCCCTTGACCCTATTCCTGTACATTTCAGAGATACCTTGTGAGTTCAATCTATTCGTATGTGCAGAATTTAGAGGGACAGAATGTCAGAATAGCGGATTATTTTGATGAGATTGCTGGGACAAGCACGGGCGGACTCATAGCCTGCATACTCGTTGTGCCTGACCCTGTGACCAAGCGGCCGAAGCACACTGCTAAGGACGCGATTAATTTCTACCTGCAAAATTCTCCCAAAATCTTCCCGAAGAAAAGGTTTCATCAACCCACAGTTGGAAATCTATACTGATGAGGCAGTATGCATTAATGATAGATCAACTTACATCAGATAATGAGCAAGAAATACATTCTTAAGTGGTGGATTTCTCATGGGAGCGTACAGATTGCATGATGTTATTTATTTTCTAATCAAGAATCTTAATCTTCGCAATTAAGAGTGTCTAAATTTAGCTAGTAGTAGTACGTTTGTGTATTTTTAGTCAGAGGCGCTTTGGACAATAATATCTTATCTACTGGAAAACGATCTAAGGAATTGATTAAAACTCAAGTGCATGAATGGACAGTGAACAGTAACAGAAATGATGACCCCACTAGACGAAGAGCTTTGAATGTGTTTGTTCACAAATGATCAAATTTCGCACTTGTGATTTCATATTTTTATTTTTTGTTTCCTATGCAGTGGATTGCTTTCTAGTTTGAGGAGCCTGATTACCAGGCTGACTGGTCCCAAGTACAAGTCTGCTCCTCTGGAAACGATCCTCAAGGAAGTGGTTGGGGATCTAAAGCTTACAGAGACCGTCAAGCCTATCATTATTCCGTCGTACGACATCAACTACCAATCTTCAGTCTTGTTCTCCACAACACAGGTAATTAATTATTCGCTTAGATCTCTGTTTCACACCACTGGTATATGTACATTTACAATTTCCTGGAATGATTGGCTTAGGATGTTTTCTCTACAATAACACGATTGTTCTTGCATCCTTTTTAAAACCACCTACAAATTTCCTAACCCATGTGCACTAGCATGGGCAATTGGTTGGAATTAATATATTCACCTATGTACTTCATCTGTCGTCTCCAAACTAAAATTGTGTGGTTTCTATGTGCAACAAGGCCATATCAAAGCAGATTCCAGATTGCTTTATTCGTGACGTTTGCCGAGCAACCACGGCAGCGCCTACCTACTTCGCGCCCTATTATTATACCTCCATTACTGACGAGGGAGAGAGGATAGAATTCAATCTGGTGGATGGAGGAGTTGCTGCAAATAACCCAGTAAAACCCCTCATGCACATCCAGTACACCTTTCCCATATTTTGTATTTGTTATAAATTTCAAGTTGCATCAAAGTGCAGTTTGATCTCAGTTCAAGGGATTACGTAATACATAGCCTACGTAATTTTGTGACAGGCCTTTATTGCTGTGAGCGAGCTTCTCAAAACTCAAGCTGTACAAAACGAAGAAGAAATGGTGTGAATTCCTCACTGATTCTATCTGTCGTGTATTAAATACTTGATGTACTGCATTTGAATGAAAAAAATTTGGTAGTAAAAGTCTCAGTTCTATCATACGTCATCCATTTTGCCTTCTAATTACGAGTTACTTCCTAAAATTTGAGGTCTAATTCCTGCTTAGAAGTTGCATGCAATGAAGAGTGTTTACGGGGAAAAGTAACGAGAACTCCAGAAGAAACTGTGAAACGTTTGCAGAAATATGAAGACCTCTTGGTTCTCTCCCTCGGCACTGGAAGAACTACGGTGAGCTATGCTGCGAAGAACGCTGCCAAGTGGGGTACTCTTTCTTGGATATATAACAATGGAAACGTGCCGCTACTGGATATGCTCTTGTTGGCCTCACAAGACATTGTAGATTATAATATGTCCAATACCTTTTACGAGCAATGTAGTCATGACAATTACCTGCGTATTCAGGTGAGTTCAATTTAATGCTTCTCTTATATTGTGACTGCAGGAGATGCTTCGTTTCTGATTTGTAGTTTAACCTGCCTAAGGCTGGCAGCAGTGGATTCATATAATGCCGTCTTTGATTGTAACCATTTGCTAAAGAAAAAACGCATGCAGTTTCAGATTGTGTACCATTTTGAACAACCATAGTAGGTCTGATTGATTAGAGGATAGCATTTTGCTGGTTTCTAATGCACTGATATAACAGACAGAAGAGCTTGAGGAGTCCCAAATGCAATTGGACAATTCTTCTCAATCCAACTTGCAATCACTCATAGCTACTGCGAGGAAGCTCTTGCAATCCAAAGCGCAGATGCGTAACAGATTTGGCCAGTTTGTTCCAGACCCACGATGGACAATTTACGACGCAGCCCTCTCCCAGTACTTTTCTGAACTTGTCCTTCCGCTTCATACATTAGCAATGTACACTTAATTGAGGTAGTATGGAATTTTGCTGTCTTATGTAAACGGCAGATTGATTAATAAATTCATGGTACTATCAGGTTTGCGTCCTGGCTCGTGAGGGAGAGGAATGCTCGAAATCCACCACAAAGTTTGTAATCAGTAGAATACTGCAGATTACGATGTATAGTAATTTCACACGAAATTTGCTCTCACCTAGATTAGGGTGCTTGATACAACATAAGTGTCCAGAAACAGTTGTTGTAGTCATCTAAGGTATGGTTCGCTTTCTCCATGTCTATGCACCCCATAGAAATAATAAGCCCAAAAATTGTGTCCGGACTTTGAAATTTCTGGGATTCTGTACAACACACTACAATATCCAACTCCTCTCTGCAACACAACATTTCATATATCATAACATATCGTTTGTCTTTGATGTAAATTGGTGTTAAGTCACCTCTTTGTCACCTTTCTGAAGGCCACAGTCTAGAGGTTGAATAGATCGAAGGATATCAAAGACTACAATAGCATACCTATTACTAAAATAATTACATTTTAAGGAGAAAAACTTACAGCTAATATGCGCTTGATATTGGTGTTAAGTCACTTCTTTGATAGAAAACTTTATGTTAACCAATCTTCTGTTGAAAATCCTTCACTTTCTTAACTATCTAATGTAGTATTCTTTCCTCAACTGGCAAGAGAATGTGAGATATATTTATTTGATTTTCTTGCACCCAAAACAATTACAAGGTTATATTTTGGTTTACTTGACTAAACATTTGCCACATTTTGGAGCTGTGTACCCTCACTTATATTTGATACAAGAAAGACAAAAGTTTCTAAGATGAAAATGAGTCATTCTGTTAATTCAATTTCAGTGTAACCTAGTGTAAGCACAAACAATAGTATATTTACATAGTTTTTAAAAATCAACAATATTTTGGAGAGTTGTAAATGAGAAACAAAAGTTTTTTTTGAATATAAGAAATTAAGAAGGAAATAAAACTATTAAAAATAATAATAAAAATAACAATCCTAGTGCAAGTATTAAAAAATCTCATAAATTTGGTTGTTAGGATTATAAGCCTTAATCTATAGATGACAAATATTAGAAACTAATTTTTGATTTTTATATTGGGTCAATTGATCTATTAACTAATAATTGATGCCATTTTTTTTCACATACAGAAGATAATGCAATATAGTTAAATGTTTTTGCAAAACAAAAGAAAAAAGGAACAAAAAATGAAAAAAAAAAAAAAAAAAAATGAAACTGATTTTTTTAGCCAATAGCCTTGAAGAAAAAGTAAAAGTAATTTTAAGACTAAGTTCAATATCTGAAGTTTTAAACCAGTGCTCAATCTATGTATTCAAAGTCATACCAGTATTGTTTTGATACAAAATTATCATTATTTCAATTAATTTCATTAGATAATGAGAAAAAAAATAATCTTGGAACTTAGATATTTGAACCAATATCTATGGGTTTTTTGGAAGCTTCCACTTTGACTTACTAATAAGCATATTTGTAGGCACAATTAAGACCATATTTATTCTTTTTAATTCCTATTTTTATTATGATCTTGTTTTATGACTTTTTATTCTTTAATACTTAATAATTTCTATTTTAATAAATTATTAATTTTTAAATATACTTTTTAGATTTCTTTTTTCTTTCATAGTTGCATATAAGTATATTTTCTTTTAATATATATATATATATATATATATATGTACTTATTAAAAATAGTATTTATAACCAAATAAGAAAGTTAAAAGCCAAAGATAAATTTTAAATAATATTCTAAATAAGTATTATTTAGATAAGTGTGTACATTATATTACACTACTACAACACAAAGATAATAATGTACAATGTTAAGATCATATTGGTGTTAAATTTAAAATTTCTATTAAAAAATCTTTAGAAAATATTATTATTACTAAAAATAATTAAATAATAAATCATATTAATTTTAGCTTCAAATTTTAATTTTTTGGATCTAAATATTTTCTCTTACAATTAAATAAGGTCTTCACAACTTATTTAATGTGAATATACCAGCAATATAATGTTATTTATATATTTATATATATACACACATAGGGAGATGGATAGAGTTGAATTTAATTTAAGATAGGACTTTTGAGTAATTAAAAAAATTAAAAAATTAAAAAATTATATAGGGATAAAAAGATGAGTATGTAAAATCATATCACAAATTAAGTAAAATTATTTTCCATATTTAATAAAGTTTAAAACTAAAATCATAAATTTATATAATCAATATTTAATAGAAAGAAAATAAACACATCAAGCTTGTTGATAAGAAAGAAAGAAAGAAAGAATATAGGGGTGTATTAAATAACAAAAAATCCTATTAGATTTACAAATTGTTTTGCTACCTTATTATAAGATAAATACTAAAATTACCATTTAATCTAAATATAACATACAAATAAAATAAATGGCCAAATTATCATCAAAATAAGAAACACGAGCTTATTTTTTACAAGCATCAATTCAACAATAATCTAACATAGTGGTATGATATTTAAAAAAAAAACTTTGGTTAACAAAATGGTTTTGATTATTATTTTTAAATGTTAAGAACTATTACTTTATATTTTATCATATATCATGTATTACTACAATAGGAATAACAAAGAATACAAAAAGTTAAAAACAACATTTGTACTACACCAGTAAAATGGGCATTAAGATACTGAATAAACTTTTATAACCAACACTCTCTATATCTTGGAAACATCTCGTACAATCAAATTAACATAACCAAAAAAATAAACAAAAAAGATCCTGACCAATAAGAGGACCTGTTCATGTCTGTTGTTTATTTCATTGATGTTTGTCTCCATTATAAAACCCATCCAAAATACGAGTTTAATCACAAATCCCAATGTTGACCACATAAAAATTGTCACTTTACTAATATATGTATATATATATATATATATATATATTGGTAAAATTGTCACTACACATACATAAATGCATTTTGTTTAAATGCGCAACATGTCTAAATGCATAACCTCCGTAAATGCATACCAGCTTCTTAGTCCAAACCTCGGGCACATACTTAACAAGTGAATAACATGTCTAAGTGAATAACTTGCCTAACTGAATACCCAACCGCTGGTCCTGGCCATATTCAATTAGACAGGTTCTAGTGTCTAAGGTATTTTCATAATTTCACTCATCATACGCATGGGAAGAATAGTAACCTTTTTCGCAGCCATACTTTTTCCAAGTTGGAACAAAAGCACGGCGGGTCCACGAAGAGGTCCGATAAAGCAAAAGGCTGCCCGCTGCTTACTGCTTACACTCCACGTGGAAAGTCAAAAGAAAGCGATCCAATTACCCCCAACCAACGCATGAGGAAGCAGCCATGGCAGATCAGACCACGACGGCGACGAAACGGCGACGGCAAGGAGAGGCAAAGCAAGGGGAAGCTGTGATCCGGTCGCACATTGGTACTGGGGCTGTGGCCCTTTTCTATATGTGCAGTGGATTTCCGTCCCCTGTCTCTCGTTGCACTGGTCCCCGAGACGGAGTTGGAGCTCTCATTCACCTTCATCGGATTCGGGAAAGCCTCGCTCGTCTCCTCTGTCAGTCGCTAGAGCTCGAGGAGCAGTGCGCAATTTATGAGAGGAGGTGGTTTTGCTCTTGTTAGGGAAATTGGAGCATAGAAAAATTGGAGTTATCATGCCCTCGCTGGGGCTGTGCAGGCCCCCCTTTGTCGCTGCCGCGAATGCGCAGTCACATTGCACTTCCTCTTGCTCCTCGGCCTCCACCTCAGTGTCGAGTTTCATTGTGGGCGGGATCAGGCGGTGCGGAAGCGGGAAATGGCGATGGAAGGAAGCGTCCAGCAGAGCGCCGTGGTCGCGGCCCCGGGTATGGTTCTCATTCGGGGCTCGATCGGAATTTTGTGTTTCTGGTTTGTTGGGCTTAATTTGTCCCGCCTGGGAGGAATAGTTGTGCACTTTTGTGTGAGATTTGGATGGAATCTAGTGTTGTGTATGTGCTACTACTGAATGATTACGGGGGTGACATGGTGACAGGACGCTGTCATCCTCTAGATAGGAGATGCTGAGTGATGAGATAATTGACATTGACCTGTTCCTGGGCAGCGTTCACCTGATAATTGGGACTGGGGCTTTTCTGTGGTGGAATCTAACAGGGTCATGCGGAGTGTGGGGCGCAAGGAGGCGATAGTGAGGTTCAATCTTTTGGTGCTAGTAGAAGACCCGGTGAATCGTGGAGGTCTTATGCTTATGGCGACGATATTCCTACGCAAGCCGAGACTGTCACTCAAGGCACACAAACTGTACAAACAGATTACAAGCCGACTCCAGATTTAGATTACTTGCAGGTCTGTAATTTCATCTTGTTTGCTGAGGATTCTGTTTCAAAGGCTTAGAAAACAACCTAGAATTCTGGACTCTTAGGTCTGAGTGGCGTTAAAACGTGTTCACACGGTAAGTGTGAATTAGGTCTCTGTTGTATGGAAGGAATTCCTGCTTAGGGTTATCTACCAAGTCTCTTTGCAATGTGGAGACCTTATTCAAGGCTACAAGGCTGCATGGATGAGAATGTTAATTGCTATTTCTTGGCCAAGAAGCTTTGTGGGTCGTCAATTATAAGGTTTTGTGCCCTAATACTAGAACTTAGACCTGAGGGCTTTTTCAAGGTTCAAATTCTAATGACTTATTTGTGTTGCACTACGTTTTGGCTTGTTTCTTTTATGAACGATGCACACCTGCTGTGGTTTTCAGGAGCTTCTAGCAATTCAACAGAATGGACCAAGGGCTATAGGCTTTTTTGGAACTCGGAACATGGGGTTCATGCACCAGCAACTCATTGAGATTCTTAGTTATGCGATGGTTATCACGGTAAGTATGTGTGTCGTATTATCATTTGTACGAATGCCTGCTCCTGTTTGTCTTACTATTGGCATTGGCATTTAAGTTTGATTTTTACTTGAGCGTTCGAGGAAGTTGCAAAGTTTTGTAGTGGTCATCATTCTGAACTGTTCATGTTCAATCTTAGACAAAAGTCTGTGTTTCTCTGTTGTTTTGGTGTGAGGTTTTCGTATGCTGTGAGTTATATGGATCACGTGTACTATGATTCTGCTGTTTCTATGTCTGCTGTCAGTGTACCTTAATCAGTACTCCAAAAGTAATTTTCCACAATTCCATCATTGCAGTGCATAGAACTCAACTCCTTTTCATTTTTCTGTTTGTAGAATAATCATATATATACATCTGGAGCAGCGGGAACAAATGCGGCGGTTATAAGGGGAGCATTGAGAGCTGAAAGACCAGACCTTCTTACTGTAATTCTGCCTCAGAGCTTGAAGAAGCAACCGCCTGAAAGTCAAGATCTCCTAGCTAAGGTACGATCTACTGTTATGTATCAACTTTCATGTTCCCACACTTTTGTGGCAAACTTTGTACCGTGCTACTTCTGAATTCCATTTGTATAGTGCAACCACAAAGTCTTGGAAATGTTACTTCATGGTAGTCTTGATACCTTAACTTAGTAAAGATTTAAATCATGAACAATTCATGCTATTCATACCTGAAGTTATAGCATGAATTGTGCCGTGCACAGTTGAATGATTTATATACTTGTTCATATCGACGTGTACCAGGTTAAAAATGTTGTGGAGATGCCTCACAACGATCATTTGCCGTTGATTGAAGCTAGCAGGTAATGTTTCCAGATTCTTGGTGTTTTATTTTGTGTGTGACTATGCTCCAGTGGCACATACGCGAGGGATATGCACGATTGATATTGTTTACTTGACTTTGCAATGTGAATTTGTGATTAACTGTGTGGTATGATATGTTTGCAGACTGTGCAATATGGACATTGTAACACATGTGCAACAAGTTATCTGCTTTGCCTTTCATGATAGTAAGTTGCTCATGGAGACTTGTAGTGAAGCAAAAAATATGCGCAAGATAGTTACCCTTTTCTATCTAGATTGACGATGTTTGGTAGTGACGAATTTGTGAGGATATCATCCGCTATCGATCCTCACATTTATAATTGAGCACTCGAACATGCTTTTGTTGGAAGAGCAATCTCCTAGAACGTAGTCGATTCTTTCTTCAAGCATTTGAAGCTCCACTCTGGTAAATCTTCTGGTCTCTTCAGATAGAGTTAAAGCTTTTGAGATCACCAGTTATTCCGATCATCTCGTAATAAATTGATGTTTCTTGACGATGTTCATTGCCCTCTTACTCAACATCTAGCCTAGAATACTCCTGTCATTGGATTTTTTCATTGTAGGAATCATAAGCCAGAGTAACTGTTTGAATTTTGATTAGATTGACGGAAGTGAAGATAAATTACTGAATTGGGTTCTACCGTCGTTGCAGTAGCCTTGATGTGACAGTTATGGACTGCACTCTTTCGGTGTCAATTTCTGACCTTCAGAAGCATACACATGAAATAAATTGGTTCAATTAGCAAAAAAAATATGCTAATCAATGCTGCAGATAAATTGCAAAAATGTAATAGAAAAATGCGGATTTGTTACATGTGATAAATACAGGATTAAGTAAATCTAAAACGTATTTGCATATGAATTTGGATTACAATAATAATAATATTTTTAATATTTTATAAAATATGCTTGTCTACAGTGTTGAATCTCCATAATAATTACAACATTTCCAACATCCTTGTGTTACACTTGAATATGGTTTTAGTTTGCAAAGTTAATTTTAAAGAACAATTTATATTAATCATATTTTTGGAATGTGTTTGTCTTTGATAGTTGTAATATACATACATAAATATATTGAAAATCTAGAAGATTTAGTATTTATCATTTTATAATAAATACTAAAAAAAATTACAATTTTGGTCAATTGATAGATAAAGTTTTATTTGCTAAACAAGAATTATTATAAGATTATTTTAAAACATATATCAAAAATAATGAATACTAACCAAATTTACTTCATATTGAACTCTTGGAAATGTTAAAATGCAAGGATAATATCAAGACATTAAGAAACACTAGAGAAACAAGATATAAGATTAAAAAAAAAGAGAACTAGATGCAAGACTACAAATGAAAAAATATTTGGATTGTTCCAAAACTAGTAATTGTAAGATTAAGAAATTTCTTATATTGTCTTTTTATTTATAATATAGCAATTTATCCTTTGGAAACTTCTAAAATAGATTCTAATTTTTTTTGTTTCTATAAATTTATAAAAACATCTAAAAGACTATTAAAGGTTCTAAAAAATTCTAAAATAATTTAGAAAATTCTAAAAATATTCTTAGCTACAATTTGCTATGAGATCCTAAAATCACATCTTATAATAGTGTTACCCACCAAAGTAATCATACTTGATTCTAACAGTGCTACTCGTCTAAGGAGCTCCTACTCACTTGCAAATGATACTCACCAAAGTACTATAACAACATGATGTCAGAGGAGTGATAAGCAAAGAGATAAGGCACCATTACAAGGCTATCAAAATTAACAAGAACATAGTAAGATAGAGGGATATTTAAGGATCGGAGAAAATATTTAGAAGGTAGACAAGAAGTAATATAGCATGTAATGGGTCTCGCGTAGTAGCACCACAAATCAAGCTAGTGTTGAGGCAAAGGCTATGTAATTCCAAGTGAGCAATTAACTAGTTTTTTTTTGTTTTTTTTTTTTTTTTTGGTTTTTTTTTTGTTATCATTGTATGTATTAAGTCTGATCTTGCAAGGTCATATCTTGTCCTTGCTAGTAACCTCAAAATCACAAGTAACAAATAGAAATTTTTACAAAGAGTTTCAATTATTTAACTCTTTATTTTTTTAAAATATCAAAGATATATTAGAAAATTCTTGTAATAAATATTATTTAGTCAATGCTTAGTTAAGTAAAAGAGTTGATTTAACCAACAACTATGGCTAATGTCTTTAGAGTTAGTAAACTCATTTTAACAACCTTCTTTGCTTTTAGGTATTTAAAACATCTTTAGAAAGTGATATCTTGAGTATCAAATCTAATATTGTTAACTTCTAATAGAATGACTAAGACCTAAATATCTATGCTTAAATTACTTATAATAAAATTATACTAAATTTTTTAAAATACCTTGTTTTATCTTAAAGATATCTATGTGATTATAAAGGTTATGACCATTGTTACAACTAGTCTAGCTACAATAAATAAAATACATATTAAAGGTCATGAGATTCTATAAAGACCTTCTAATTCAATATATTAATGCTACAAGAATAAGAATATAAGGACTTAATTTATAAGAAAAATAAGAAATTACTAATATCTTATAAATCACTTTCATTTCTTTTTATGCTTATCATATTACACAATTTTTTAAAAGCTACTTCATTAATATTATTTCTTTAATATAATTTTTAATCTTCTATAGATGGATTAATTTTGATTTATAAGAATATTGCTAATAATACTTAAAAATATTTAACGATATATTATTTAGATTGAATTTTTTTATTTATTTTCAAATGTAATTACTTCATCAATATATTAAATATTTTAAGTATATGTATTTGAGTTGTAAATAAAAAATATTATTCTAGCTACATTTTAATTTGATATAAATCATGAATAGAGTTAGTATTAGAAGACTTCTTTTTAGAATATATAATCTATGATAAGCTAAACAAAAGACATAAAATATTAGATAATTTTTATATTATGTAAAAGCTTAAGATAAAAATTGAATAGCTTTATTTGGTAGAAAATTGTAAATAAAAAAAATCTTTGAAAGTCTAAGTTCTTTGATGTTTGTTTTGTGTCTAAGTTTTTTTTAATCATACAATGAAAAACAAATCATTTATTTGAACTTCACTTTAAATTCTTAATAAAAATTTGCATGACACTTGTAATGATTTTAAATTTCTTGCAAATGGTTAATTGAAATAAAAATCAATCAAAGAAAATAATATAACTAATATTATAGAATCTTAGATCTTATACACATGATAAATTTTACAAAATTTATGATTTTTTCTAAGAATATTTATTATATGTACTCTTTTTGAAACCAATATGTCTTTTAATACAAAGATTATGGTTATTTAAACAATGCAAAGATATAAGCACTAAAATTATATTTAATAATTCTTTAAAGTATTTTTTTTCAAATTAAATTTTATCATTTATAGAAAAATTTGAATGCTTTTCAATTTAATATATTTATTCGGTTTTTCTAATGCCACCTTAATTTTTGCTATTGCTACGACAACTTGCCATCCACTCAATATATGTATTAAGTTTTATTCTAATAAAAAATATTAATATTTTTTTATTTCTTCTTTTAAATTATGTAGAAAGTAGTTTTAGTTTAATAAAAAGATAATTAAAAATTATTTAAGAAGAATTTGCAATCTCAATGGCAAAAAATATGGTAGCAATAGCAAAAATTGTAGTAGCATTTGAAACACTCTATTTATATACTTATAAAGGCATACTTAATTTCTTGTAAATTTCTTTTTTTTATCGTTATGTTAACAAAAATATATACTAAAATTATAAATAAGATAAAATTTTGGCTTATGAAAGAATTTTTTTTTGAACTATTTTTAAATTTTTTTGTTTAATTATTAAACTTAATTTATACAAAAGAAAAAATGGATGCATATTGTTAAGTTGAAACTTCTCAAGACTATCAAAGCAATAGTATTGTTATGTAGGTGCCAAGTAAAATACGAGATACTTGTTTGTAGAAAAATTTCATACCAATATATATATATATATATATATATATATATATATATGAAAAAAAGCACCTTAATATGCTAGCATAATTGACACCTTTGTTATAAAGACTTATCATAGAAAAAATAAAAAAATATATGTCATCAATATTAAAATAAAAATACTAAATAAATAAATAAATAAATATATATATATACTAATAAATCAATATTATTCTAAAAAATAAAAAATATTTAATTATGTTTTATAATTAAAATTTTAAAAATATTATAACTAAGATATTAAATAATTTTTTTAAGAATAGGTTAAAATAATAACTAAATGGATGGATGGATAGATCTATAGAAATTTAGATGGTTAAATATACATAAATAAATATTTCTCACTTAAATTTATAAAAACTTAGGAATTGTTGTTGTGACTTAATTTCTTCTTATTTAATCAAATCTTTGATTTTAGCATCTTACAAATACTTGATTATTTTATGCAATGCATTAAGCAATAAATTATTTTAATGAATTTTCTTTTGATATTTTTAATATTAAATCTTTGACATTATCTTTTAATTCATATAAAAATTAATTGATTAGGGCTTTATCATTCAAATTCATGTCGTAAGTAAGGTTTTGGAATTTACTTGCATATATGGTAGATGATTGTGATCTTTATCATAAAGATGAGAGTTTTGTCTCTACTACTTTTTTTTGATCATTTTCTCTAAATGTAATTGTAAATACTTTAAAGAATGATTTTAAATCATATAAGAGTTGTGAATTATTTTTAATTAAAGATGAAAATAAAAAAATAGTACTTCTAAATAGAAATGTGCTCTAAAGCTATCAAGATAATAAAAAAGCATCTTTAAATAAAATTTGACTTATTGTAAAAATACTCAAATTTTAATTTTGTTACATAAGACTTCAATATACATTATCTTTGCCTCTTTTGCATTTTTTGCAACAAGACTTTTTGGATTCACTTATGAAGTTGATCAATTTGCTTTTCTTAAATATATAATTTTTTAGTATAGATGTTTGACTTCATTATCATTTTTTTTTTTTTTTTTTTTTTTTTTTTTTTTTAAATAAGTATAGCAATAATATTTCTATCGTTGATATTAGTAGTACTTGATTTTTTTTTGCTTTGAGAGTATTGACAAGCTTGTGAAGATTAATAATAGTTACAAATCTATTTTCACTTCTTCTATGTATAGCATCTATAATTTTTTCTTTTATTTTTATAATAGATAATTTTAATATATTTATAAACTCAATTAAAATAAAGTTATTTATAATTTATAATTTCAAATAAAAAATTCTATAAAGTAGAATATTTTATTTTATTTAAAAAAAATCAATCTTAACAAAAAATATATTAGTGTAAAGACAGATAGTTTATAACCTTTAAAAAAAAATAATAATAATAGAGCTATTTACTTACTTTCCAAAAAAAATAAGAATAATAAATTATCAATCAATCTATATGTACTATCTATCTAAGAGCTACATGACAA